CACCTAAAGAGGCGCCCTAATCTGTCCCTACGCCCAAGCTGCTGCCTAGCTCCCCTACTGCACGTTTGCTGGCCTGGGTAGCCCCCTTCTTAGCCTGCACACTACTGTCCAGCCTGCCAGACTGCACGCGCGCGCTGTCTAGTTCTCCAGACTACACACGCGTGCTGCCCAGTCCGCTTGCTTGTGCGTCTGTTCTGCCCAGTCCGCCTGTCTGCGCGCCTGTGCTGTCCAGCCTCCCTTCACACTGCAGTCCAGCCCACTAGACTGCAAGTCCCCCAGACTGCACACGCACGCTGCCCAGTCTGTCTGCCTACGCGCCTGCGCTATCCAGCCCCCTCTTCTGTGTGCTGTCCCGCTTGCCTGTTCACGCGCCTATGCTGTCCAGCCGACTGGTTTGTGCGCCTGAGCTGTCCAGCCCACCTATTTGCACATCCAAGTTGTCCAGGACAACTTTTTTGGCACTCAAGCTGTCCAGGACAGCACCTCCAGCGCCTAGGCAGCGCCCTACACTATTCTTAAAGCAAGAAAAGTCCTCAAATTCGCCCAAACCAGCGCCTAAAGTGGCGCCTACCTCCTCCCTTCCTTCAATCTCCTCCACTCCCTCTTCAATCGACATTGCCCATTTGAAAACTCCACTCAAAAGGAAGAAATCCCACCTATACACACACACACACACACACACACACACATATATATATATATATAAATGGGTATGTATATATATCTATATACTCTTGGAAGGATTCAAGAAGAACACTCTTTTTCCCTCTCAAGTTCCAACGAAATAGGTAGGACTTGGGTTTTTAAAGTTCTCAAGAATGGATGCTCAATCTCAAGGCAAGTGAAATGGGTAGAACTTGAGCTCTCAAGATTTTCAAGAATGGTTTTCAATCTCAAGGTGAGTGAAACTGGTAGAATAAAGAAGAAGACTACATTTATAGTCTAGGGTTTTCAATAGAGGGAAAAGCCCAAATTGAAACTTATGGGCCCTCTTAAAAATCCTAGCAAAAGTGGGAAAGACTTGAAGTATGCACCAAAGCCAAAAATACAGAAATGAAGAGTCAATGCCTCCTTCTCCAAGTTTCCTTCGACATAAGAGGCATTGGGGGGCAAATGATGGGTCAAGCCCAATAAGAACCCAATTTATTTGAAAAACCCAAACCTCAATTGAAGAGGCCAGTCTTATGAAGACCCATTAAGCCCAATATTGTCCAAGTCCAGTCTCATCAGTTCGGCTACGTCATCAAGAAAGAGAGAGAGCACGAGAGCCTTACCTGCACCGCCAAGGAAACAGTCCACCCTCACCTTATCCTTGACCCCATCTATGGAGAGTATCTCAACCACCTTGTCCGTTGAGAAGAAGTCGTAAGCTCCATCGAAATGGTTGTTTAGTTGCTATAAAATAGCCTCAACTTGTTAGAGGGTTACTATAAATTGCACGCCCCACCAACACTTGGGAGGCATAACACTTTACCTGAGCACGACTCTCTCCTCTCCCTCAAAGCTTGCACTCTCTGCTCCCCACACCCCTGAGTTAATAGAATACTTGGCAATCAAAGCCATTCAAAAGTGGACGTACGTCGAGTTGACCGAACCACTATAAATTACTTGTGTCTCATTTCTTTACTTTAAATTACTGCATTTATTTTCATTCACTTGATAGGTGGTGTGCAAAGTCATTTTGTGCATCATCAGGAATTATATATGTTTTTCAGACCCAATTTTGTAGTTTATTAGATCTATCAGGTAATGATAATAAAGAAAATGTATCATTACAAACTGTTTGAATTTTAATTGCCTCAGTTGTATACAAATGTGATATACCACATTATTTTCTATCAGATAATTTATAAATTCGTATTAAATTTTTTAGCAAATCTTTTACGCAAACAACCAAAAAGTTTATGAGATTGAAACTCATTATTTATCTTGTTTCGTAACCTGATTTTGACAATATTCTTAACAAAAAAGCACAATCTATAGTTACAGATCCATTCTATCAGAAAATGGGTAGGCTACTCTCCTTACCCAATATCAAATTATTAATATGGGCATGTTTTTATCGAGAGTGATTTCTAGAAAGCTCAAAAAAAAAAAAAAATAGGGTAGAAATCGTCCTGCTAACGATGCCTATATACTGCATCGATGGAGCTCCTATATATAAATGATTTATAGAAGTACGGGCCGGGGGTCATAGCCTCCCTAGGTCTTACAACTAAACTACCTTAATTACTTATGTTCTGGCTCTTCAGATTTCTTTATTTTCTATATGCAAAATATAAAAGCAATAATAATCATAGTCTGTCCCTTGTTTTTAAGAAAAATATATTTGAATTATCTAATATTTTTTTCCTTGCACCGTGGTTAATTACTAATAATGACCGACAATGACTAACCTTATTTATCCTATGGTTGATTATTTAACAGCCCAACCTATTTGGCTCCGCCACCTTGTTCATACAATACCAAAGATATAGAGATCAAATTCATTAAAAAAAGGCTCCATCAGTGCATCTTCTTGTGAACACCATGCAATATGAACATGTTTCACGTGTCTATATGCACCCAATGTATTTGATGTTTGGAGGCTTATTTAATTGAAAACATCCTAGCTGCCTAGCAATTTTTCAAATGTTGGTACCGACAGCGACACAGATTGGGAATTATACTTGGGTACGCATTGAGGTTGGTGGAATGTTTGCGAGGGAACATTCTGTGAATATATATATATTTTTTGGGTACTATACTTTTTTCGTCTAATAAAATTATTACACCAATAAACTTAATTCTTTTATTTTTACAAGTTAGGTATTTTTACACTCCATGACTATAAGTGTATCAAATTAAGTCGCGGCTATCAATGACTTCTTCGTATAGAATCCATTCAAGATAATGCTGTCAAGACCAGAGAGAGAGAGAGAGAGAGAGAGAGAGAGAGAGAGAGTCAAATGTCGAGTAATAGTCAGACACCAAAGCATGATTGTCAATTTGATCATCGAGTACTATCAATAAAACAATAACCCAAAGTAAAAGACCTGACTAGGCTACCCAAAAAAAATTTAATACTTTGCTTTTAAAATTTATTATTTTAATAGGTGTTTTTATAATTGTTATGAATAATTTTACACTTAAAAAATTTATCATTTTTGTGCTAAATATTTTTACTACTATTGTGGTAACTATTTTTACTATTTTTCTTCGGTACAAAAAAAATTACTACATTTGTGGGTGATTAACCACATTGTATAAGTATTTTTGTCACTTTTCTTTGGTATCACAACTACAAATGTAAGAAATTTTGTTACAGTACAATTTTTTTGGGGGTTGTACTGTAGACAACTCCAAAAGTAAAAAGTGGGTCTTTTCTTTGCCAAGGATTATTCACAAAAAGACTTTTAGGCTCATGGGGCAAGTCTACTAGACTCACTTCAGCTTGACTGAAGATTTTTTTCCGCTTGATATTTCCATATACAAGGAGATCACCTAATGGTTCTATCGAATGGAAATTGAGCNAGTAGGTTATAATATTCAGTACCCCAAGCTGGTCACACGTCCAACTCTTCTTCCGTTACACACTTTTTTGTCTCATACATGTTTAAAGGTCCTAATGATTCTGAGGTTACCACCTAAGGAGGAAGTGGTTNGCAGGCTGAAGAGCTCCCCCGGTAGTGTAGATGTGCACACCAAGTAGTGTGTGAGGTGTGTGAGTAAAATGACAATAGAAATCAAGTACACAATGAGTACAGTAGTTCATCAGATAAAAAGTTTAGCTAATCCATTCTAATAGAGTCTCTTGTTTCTAGGGTTTGTATTACTTGGTAAGGAAAAAGACAGTTATAGCTTTTGGTTAACAGTTGGCTTTTTTCGTGTGCAATTGCTCATCTAACGTTACAAGGCAAGAGTTTGCCTATTTGTACTTGTAGAAAGAGTGGTTTTTAGGTAATGATAGGGGTGGTTCCCTAGTTTGTTAGGATATTGGAGGGGAATATTTGACCATTAGAGACTACATTTTCCTANCTAACCTTAGTTTATAGTCGGAAAACTGAAGCACATATCTCAAGCGACCAAGGTAGTTTTACAAGTTTCCTAAGGGAGTGGAGGTGTTTGTTCCCAATCATAGTTGATTGAGAAAATATATATCTCCTAAGGAAAGTTTGCTTCTTCGCATTAACCCTTGAAGCCAGTTTGAGATTTCCTCTATATCCCTTCATTCGAGATGTTTTTTGCTTATTTAACCTCTGTCTGGCTAGGATGTCTTCTAATGGTTACTGCTTGTTGGTTGGTTTATTGGTCTTTTGGCAAGATAATGACCTTGGTTTCACTCCAACTGTTTCCGAACTCCATTTTTTTATCTCAAGTTTTCCCCATCCAATGGCTCAAGTGAGTCAAGATGGATAACCTTATTGTTGGGATTCCTACTTCTCATAAAGGCCAGAAAGAAGACTTTTTCTTCATTTATTGCAATGCTTGGGAGTTCGTAGGGGATCCACAAGAGTCTCCCCAAGTTCTCTAGCTCATGGATGAGCCCAAGAACTTGGGAGTTTGGTGTAGAGGGGTTGCTTTATCGCTTTCCTTATCTTCTATTATTTCTCTAGATCTGTGTCAACTTTGACTTTTAGGGCATAGACTCATATTGACCCGATCTGAAGAAATCCAAGTGGCTTGTGTATGGAAGTGTGAAACTAGACACTACAAAGAATTTATAACTACTAAAAACCTTGCTAAGCACGACCTTGGCCGCGCGGTGCCAAAGGTGCCTCCTGCCCAAATTACTTAGGGTCTTTATATCGACTAACCGCTCTTTAGTAGACTTTGGCATCTCATTTTCATTTCTTCGACTACTTCAATAGTTGATCTAACATTTTTTCCTTTTCAAATTCACCTTCCTTGGCTCCTAACAAGGACTTTGTGAAATATGCAATGGAAAAAATGAAGGAGGCTAGGAAGGCAGAGGATGTGAAGAAAATAAGCGTAGACGTCCTAACCCTCCTTTGGTCGTGATGGTTAACCCCACAGTTCTTCTTCATGATCAAGATAATGAACCAAAAACGATTCCTCCAAAAAGGCAAGAAACCCTCATTGTGGACCCTCCCTTAGAGGTCGGGGTTACAAAGAAAGTCAGAGGTGCAATTACTGTTCTGTTCAATTCTCTGTAGTGGAGGTTTCTAGGGTTGGCTCTCTAGACTCTATGGCCCCAAAGCCTTCTGGTTTGCCTTATATTCCCCTATCTACCAAGGAAGTTGGAGGTGAAATCACTATTCTATTCTTTTACTAAAGTTCCCTTGGTTGCATCAAACTAGTGAGAATCCTTCCTAAATCTAACATTCATGAATTGGGAAAGCTCAATGCCCTGGTGAAGGCTTCCAATGCTCCTCATGCTCTTGTTATGGTATGATTCTTTGTATTTTTTTTTCAAATGTTTAACTCCTAAGGTTCTTTATCAGGTTTTATTTTATGTGCAGTCTACTATTCATGTCAACACACTTCTCAGTCAAACCCAAGCATACGAGAAGCAATTGGAGGAGAATAGGGTTGGGCTAGAATTTACCGACAAGATATTGGAGGACCTATCTTCTGAATAGGATTCACTCAAGTTATCTGACCAATCTCTGGTGGAGAAGCTGAGCTTAAAGGAAATCAAAATCAACCGAATCATTGGAGCTATTGAAGCAACTAAATCCAAGAAGCCCAAGGCCGAGAAGAGGTTGTGCTGCTAAAGTTGAGGTTGGAGGATGCTAAGAAGAAGTGTTTTCAGCTTGTTTTTGAGATGAAAACCAAGGAGGATGATATCAAGGACTTGAAGAAATATGCTAATGAGAGCTATGCTAATGGGTATGAAGACTTAAGGGACCAAATCAAGAAGAAGTTCAGTTTCTCGATCTTGATTTCGACTCCTCCGAGCCTCCACCCTTGAAAGATGAAGAGACTTTTGAAGCTGCCAAGGGCATGACCTGTTGTAATTAATAGTTTTTAAATAAATATTTTGATATTTATTTGTTTAAACTATTAAGTATTGAATGATAAATTATTAGAGTATTTTTGTGGCTTTTGGTAGAAATTAGAAAGTTGTGAAGTAAAGATGACATGAAAGGTTACTATAGATGACTTTGGTTAAAGATGTCAATCCAAATGGTTGCGTCATTTCATAAAGCCACCATTAACATTTTTTTGTTAAAAGGCACCATTACACGCAGTCACAAGTTTTCATAAAGTCACAAATGATATCTCTTGGACTAAAATACATCATTTCAAATTGTTGTACCTTTTTCATAAAGTCACCATTGGTACCCGTTGAACTAAAAGGTACCATTACATATGGTTTCACCCTTCATGAAAAGTCGCTATTGAGTGTATAAATAGGTGATGCCTTACATTCCCAAATCACACCATTGAACAATTGTAGAATTGCTCTATCATTCTACTTCTCTCCATTATCCCAAACTCTGAATTAAGTATTCTCTCTCTCTCTCTGCATATTGCTGCATTATTATTTCAAGTTTGGTTCAAATATAAACACATAATTTTGTTCATGAGAGTCTTAAAGATTGAAGTGTTATATCTTGAGAGACAATTGCTTATCAACCTTAAGCACTGAGAGAGAGAAAATTTGTCTTAAGGAAACTATGATTACACAAGGGTTCAAATTATTATTATTATTATTATGTCTGAATTTCTGGATTTTTATTACTCGTGCAATTCTATGTCATTGTAAGTTCACTATTACTATTTTTGTTTTAACATTTTGTTTTATTAAATTAGTTTACATATAACAGTATACTTAGTAATTTAGATTTGGTAATTCGATAGTAATTCTAATTATAAAATGGTGGATAACAATCTTACGCTAGATTTAGAAATTCTTTTTCTTTGTATAGTTAGATTAATTACTGCTCTATCTAATTTAGGATTTTATATTTTTTTATATTACTACAATTCTTGATTAAAACTAGAATGTTATTTGATTCTGTGTATGTAACAAAAATGACTACAAATAATTCTAATTATATACATAATTTGGATAACACAATCGAGATGCAAGTGAGCGTTATAGAGTAGCAGACTAATGAGTCTGACCTAAATACTAGAAACAGAAGAGTTGACCTATTTTGCTTTTCTTTTCAAGAAAATATCTTAGTGTAGTTAGGACTTCTTTAATCTTTCCCCCCTTTTTAATTCTAGAAGGTATCAACTTTACATAAGTGAACGCTTGACTTCTAGTAAAACACTTGGCAATATTTTTACTGCTTAGTCTTGACCCTGGGTTGCCCCCTAAGCTAAATAGCCTAAAAACTTCTTAAGTTATGTAGATTTGAGGGACTTTCTATGAAGGGATAAATACCTCTATAGGCTTAAGATTGAGGATCTCTGCATGGCTGAGCTATTCTCGCGATGGTTAAAGGATGTGTATTTGGCAGTTAGTCCTTGTCTGTTCAGTCGTATTGTCATGGAGCATGGTGTGCGCCTAGGTTTGAGAGTCGATTCAATCTTACAATCCCACGTGTCTGGTTTTTTTGGCACACTTAATGCATTCCATTGCATTAAATCCTTTGAATGGAGGTGAGCCGTCAAAGTGCTCAACTATTTACACACGCTCTTTTGTGATTGTACATACCTTTTTTCATTCAGTCACTCTAATTTTTTTGAGTGTGAGTTCTACTAAATGTAAACCCTATGCAAACCTCATTTCCTTCTTCAAACCTTTTTTAGGTAACTTCATTTGTTATTTCTATGAGTATGGATGCTTATGTGCTATCACTTGAGCCTTGTATGGTTTGGAGGATCCAAGTTAGGTAGCCTTTATAGTGCCTAGTGATGTTTCTGAGGTTCAACTAGCAGTTATCTAGTAACGCTATAGGTTCCCTGTAGGGGTCTCTGTTCATGCCCCTTCCCGAGATTAGCCTTTTAACTTCTCCCTGAATTTGAATGTTTGTTTCTTCGAATTTCCATTCAAAGTAGGTCTTAGGTTCCCCCTACCATCATTCATTAGGCCAATCCTTTGTTTCTTTAACTTATGACTTTTTAGGATCCCAATAGAGGGATAGGATCTTTTGTTGGGTCTTCTTGTCTTCTAACGTCTACATGACTTGGTGATTCCCCCAACTTTCTTGAATTTCTTCATCTATTTTGTTTAGTTCCTACCCCTTTTCTTGCCTTTTTTTTTGCTTCTTAAGGAGGAATGGAGCGCCTAAGGTAGTTTTTGATCTTCCTGCCCTTCTNTTTTTCTTGCCTTTTCTTGCTTCTTAAGGAGGAATGGAGCGCCTAAGGTAGTTTTTGATCTTCCTGCCCTTCTCAAGGGCTGGTTGCGCCATTTCTTCTTCAGCTCTGAGGATGACTAGGAATTCAAAGAAGAGGCAATCGAGATTCTTCTCTATCTCTTAGACCCTCTTTTCNTTGAAGATGATTAGGAATTCAAAGAAGAGGCAATCGAGATTCTTCTCTATCTCTTAGACCCTCTTTTCTCAGTTGTCAATGAACTGACCTTTGTGGTTTCATATCGTAAGGGGGGATCTTGATTGCAGTAAACCGAATTCACTAAGATTGTCGGTGTTGTGGCTGATGGTCTGAGATCTTTTAGAAATTTGGTTAATATCAAGAACCTTGCTAGGTTCAATTTGGTTAATATCAAGAACCTTGCTAGGTTCAAGTTAGATCTTTTAGAAATTTGGTTAATATCAAGAACTGTGAGGGAGGTCCGTTCTAGTGAGGAGATTTNCTTTGTATTTTTTTTTGAAATGTTTAACTCCTAAGGTTCTTTATCAGGTTTTATTTTATGTGCAGTCTACTATTCATGTCAACACACTTCTCAGTCAAACCCAAGCATACGAGAAGCAATTGGAGGAGAATAGGGTTGGGCTAGAATTTACCGACAAGATATTGGAGGACCTATCTTCTGAATAGGATTCACTCAAGTTATCTGACCAATCTCTGGTGGAGAAGCTGAGCTTAAAGGAAATCAAAATCAACCGAATCATTGGAGCTATTGAAGCAACTAAATCCAAGAAGCCCAAGGCTGAGAAGAGGTTGTGCTGCTAAAGTTGAGGTTGGAGGATGCTAAGAAGAAGTGTTTTCAGCTTGTTTTTGAGATGAAAACCAAGGAGGATGATATCAAGGACTTGAAGAAATATGCTAATGAGAGCTATGCTAATGGGTATGAAGACTTAAGGGACCAAATCAAGAAGAAGTTCAGTTTCTCGATCTTGATTTCGACTCCTCCGAGCCTCCACCCTTGAAAGATGAAGAGACTTTTGAAGCTGCCAAGGGCATGACCTGTTGTAATTAATAGTTTTTAAATAAATATTTTGATATTTATTTGTTTAAACTATTAAGTATTGAATGATAAATTATTAGAGTATTTTTGTGGCTTTTGGTAGAAATTAGAAAGTTGTGAAGTAAAGATGACATGAAAGGTTACTATAGATGACTTTGGTTAAAGATGTCAATCCAAATGGTTGCGTCATTTCATAAAGCCACCATTAACATTTTTTTGTTAAAAGGCACCATTACACGCAGTCACAAGTTTTCATAAAGTCACAAATGATATCTCTTGGACTAAAATACATCATTTCAAATTGTTGTACCTTTTTCATAAAGTCACCATTGGTACCCGTTGAACTAAAAGGTACCATTACATATGGTTTCACCCTTCATGAAAAGTCGCTATTGAGTGTATAAATAGGTGATGCCTTACATTCCCAAATCACACCATTGAACAATTGTAGAATTGCTCTATCATTCTACTTCTCTCCATTATCCCAAACTCTGAATTAAGTATTCTCTCTCTCTCTCTACATATTGCTGTATTATTATTTCAAGTTTGGTTCAAATATAAACACATAATTTTGTTCATGAGAGTCTTAAAGATTGAAGTGTTATATCTTGAGAGACAATTGCTTATCAACCTTAAGCACTGAGAGAGAGAAAATTTGTCTTAAGGAAACTATGATTACACAAGGGTTCAAATTATTATTATTATTATTATGTCTGAATTTCTGGATTTTTATTACTCGTGCAATTCTATGTCATTGTAAGTTCACTATTACTATTTTTGTTTTAACATTTTGTTTTATTAAATTAGTTTACATATAACAGTATACTTAGTAATTTAGATTTGGTAATTCGATAGTAATTCTAATTATAAAATGGTGGATAACAATCTTACGCTAGATTTAGAAATTCTTTTTCTTTGTATAGTTAGATTAATTACTGCTCTATCTAATTTAGGATTTTATATTTTTTTATATTACTACAATTCTTGATTAAAACTAGAATGTTATTTGATTCTGTGTATGTAACAAAAATGACTACAAATAATTCTAATTATATACATAATTTGGATAACACAATCGAGATGCAAGTGAGCGTTATAGAGTAGCAGACTAATGAGTCTGACCTAAATACTAGAAACAGAAGAGTTGACCTATTTTGCTTTTCTTTTCAAGAAAATATCTTAGTGTAGTTAGGACTTCTTTAATCTTTCCCCCCTTTTTAATTCTAGAAGGTATCAACTTTACATAAGTGAACGCTTGACTTC